TTAAAGATCTAAGAATCATATAATCGATTTAGTTATTTCGTATAATTTTAAAATTCTATCGCATTCATCGTATAATTGACCTCAGATCTCCAGCATAATTTACCCTATCGCATCGCATAATTCTGGCAACCCTACTTTAGATATATAAACTATCACCTGACTCGAATTCAGTGCCGTTCATTTCACTGATAACTTAGCGCTGACAATTAACTTACAGACAAGTTTACTTTACCAACGATTAATTCATAGACAAGCTTATTTCACAAACAGCTTGTTTTACTGACAGCTCATCTCACCGACCAAGTAATTCTAATCATTGTCGTTAGTGTCAGGTTTAGAATTAGAGTTAAAGTTAGTGCAATTTATAAAAAAACTTTGTGAAATAAACTATCTGTGAAATGAACTTGCCTGTGAATTAATCGTCGGTAAAATATTGTAAGCTTGTCTGTAAATTAATTGTCTGTTAACTAAGTTGTCAATGAAATGATACGGATCCACTAGAATTACGTAACTAGTCAGGTGCTACTTTAGATAGCAATTTCAGATACGACATGTCAAAATCAACCAATTTTATTTGAAGTTAATAAAGAACCCCCGTATTCGACGTTTAAATTGGATAAATGAAAACAAGAAAGGAAAAATAGAAAGCAAAATGAGGAAATAATAGTGAAATGGAAAAAATGTATAGATCCTTGGCATGATAATATTAAAATGAATAAAAAGTTTTCATAAAAAACATAATATTTACTAAAAAATAATTTAAATTCAACAAACTTCTAATTCTTTTATTATAGAAGCTGAACAAACAAAGTGGAAAACAATTCTTATATTAACACCAATTGATATGCTTATAATGAATTCAACTATTTTGGTAATATAGCCGAAATAGAAGAAACGGATACTAAAGAATCTGAAACCTAATAAGAAATTATAGAAAATTAAAAAAAAAACCTTTCCCGAATAATTAATTGAAATCACAATTAAAAGTTATTGAACATACATATTCAGGCGCATAATCTTCTTGAAAACTTTTTTGATATTCCACAGCAAAAGAATAGTTACATTAAAAGACATTGAATCAAACTTCATACTAGTTCAAAAAAGATAAATGATATAAAGAAATTGAAATTCAAAGAAACTGAAATGGGAATCTTAATGGATTCGATGTATTCTTATCCATTTAGGACTCCTTAATTTTACTCAATAAATTCAGAATTGAATTATTTAGGTGGAATGCTTAGGAATATTTAAAATCCATAATGTTATACAGCAAACTCACTTTATAACGAACTGGTAGTTCTATAGTAAAAAAAATTTTTTTTTTAAAGCCCTTATAGAGTAATTTATTATGTTTCTACGTATACGGTGCTCTATAATAATTTTTTAAGAAGATTCGATTTAAGCAGGTACCAAATGTTCGTTATATCCGGAGAAGACTGTACAAGATAATTCGACTCCTTTTGTATTGAATTACTCTCTAAGTTACCACTAGAGCTAATTGAATTCATCTCTACTCTCTAACTGTATTAATATCACTTAATATTACAGTAGCATAGTTCCGTTAGTATAATGTATTCTTTTTAATAATTATAAATTGATATATAAAAAGTAAACTTTTTTATTATTTTCTATTTAAACCTAACGTAATTATAAAGTAAAAAATGTTTAATAAACATGTCATATAAATCTACAATAGTTAATTGAAATTTTACTACTATTGTTCGGATAACACTTCTCTTTCGAAATCATTGTATTTTCCGTCTTTCCATTCCAATTACATCTCTACCCCAATCAGCATTCCACAGTTGCGAAAATAATTGACAATTAATTATGTTCATTGCAACCATGCCAAACAATGCAATTATCCATTGAAACTCATGGCCAAAAAGATGATGCTCATTCCATACTCTTATTAAAAGATAGCCA